GGAAAGAGTTAGTACTCAACTCAAAGGGCTGGTGTTGAAGAGTACTTCTAATTGTGAAATGATGTCAATTAACCACATTTAAATGGTTTCAAACCCCCTTTCCTCCCTATAATGTGGGTGTTTAAACACTACAGTGGTGAGAATTGACTATGGGGAAATGCATTAGAAGCTCAACATAAAATCTCAGCTTCAGAAGATGGCTTAGAATGGCAACTTGTGAAGGTTTGTTCTGTACCATATCCTAAGTGAAAGTTAACTAGTTCAGAAGGCAGAAAAGAAGTCCGTATGTATATCCTCTCCAACAAGGGCTTTTGGATGTGTAGGTATATATTTATTTTAAAAATATGAAGATGTGTTTATGTATGTTACACTTACTTGTCCAGTAAGAAAATAATTAATCAAGGTTCTAACTTCAGCTGAGATACTTTGTTCCTCAACTGGTCTCTGTGAATGGTATTCTGCCCATTGTAGTTTAGTGTGTCTCCACTGACCATCTGGGAGTTGCGTAGCCATGTTAATTTAGGTGCAGTGTCATAGCAATGCTCTTGTTTCCCTGTGTCTATGCGAGTTCAGGCTGGCAGAGGGAGTCAAGTAGCCCTTTGGAGAAAAAGCATGAGAATTTTGGGGGTTTGGCTGTTTTAGTAGTGACTTTATGCCCCCTCCAGCAAAGCAGGAATTGGAAAAATTGGATCTAAAGTCTAGCAATGGCAGAATTTTGTAAACGTTTATGGCAAGCTTCTCAGAAGTCGGAAGCAGCAGGATGGAAGAAAATGCAAGGGCACTGGTTAGATTTTTGAAGTAGGCAGCGGAAGCTGGGGCAGTGGGTGGTTGAGAGGTGGGAGGCAGTAAGCTCAAGAATTTTGAAGCTGAACAGGGTAGGGCTTCCTTCTTGTCCAAAAGGTGGGAGATGTGATGAGGTATACAAGGAAACTGAAAGTTCTAGATTGCAAGAGGGGAAGAGCTTGAGAGATTTGGTTGTGCCATCTAACCAGTGGGTTTGGGGACCTAACAATGGTGTTGTTTACAGAGACTGACAAAAGTGGGGAGCTCAGAGAGATAACTGGGACAGGAGCAGGAGGGAAGAGCCAGAGGTAAAAAAGCAGAAACCAGGATGAACTTGAGGTTCAGTTACAATGAAAAGCAGAAATGGGGGAAGAAAGAGCAGAGTTTGAAAAGAGAGGCTGCTGGGAATGTCTGGTGGAGCTGGGGCCTGGGGGCAGACAGGAGCTGGGCTCAGCCCTCTCTGTCAGTTGGCAAGATGTATCTTGCCCTGGCAAAAGCAGTGCAGAAGACATGCCAAGGTGAAATTGAGAAAGAGTTTGGAACTTCCTCAATGTGAAAGAGTGGAGAAGGAAAGAGAGAGTAAATGAAGCATCATTTGTGCTGACAGATGAGGAGCACTGGAGGAAGGTAGGAGGTTGTTAGGGCATCCTGGCAGACAGCTGAGTGACAGTCAAGACAAGAGCCTCGATATCAGAGCTCAGGGAGAGAGTGCCTGAAAGCATGCTTTGAAAACTAGGTTATCACATGAGACCTTTTAGGAGTTTATCTGGTTTTGTCTGTCATGAGGTTATAAGCTACACAGGCAGCTTTTCACACTATAGCTGTGTTCTGATATTTCAAGTATTTTCCCATTTTTCCATCTTTGCCTGTTAAAATTAGTATTAATACTAAGAATGGGATTTGGAAGGCATACGAACAATTCATAGACTCCATTTTCTGAGGATGTTTTACCTGTTGTGACAGGAATGTTTGAGATTCCTGTAAACAGAGTTGAGTGAAGAATAAGAACTACAATTTTAGCTGTTCTTTTCTAGCTCACTTAATTACCCCTGCATTCACCGTCTTCCCTGAATAGGAAGTTACTTTTCTGTTCACTTGAGCCTTTCAAACAGTAAAAGGGAAAAGAAAATTGGGGGGTGTGGTATGTGTGTGTAATATAATTTTAAAGCCCCAATAGTCAGATGGTGGGCTTGCGAGGTAGCACCTGAAACTATTATTAAATAATTAACATTAAGTTCTGACCTAATTTTATGTCACTGATACTCCTTTAAATCAGCACAGCCATCTTAGCAAGACAAGGTATCTGGAGGATCATTGCAGAAATCCAGCAAGGCCAGGGTGTCTTGCAAAGGAAGGAGCTACAGTTTCATTCTCCATCTGGTGAGGAAGGCTCATCAGTCAAGGAGGGTGAGGAAGGAGACTAGAATTAGGGAGTGTGCCAGACTTGGTTTACAGCTCGATGACAGAGTGTTTCTTTGCCTGTCTCTTTCTGAGTGATGTTTTTGATGGTCTTTTTTTTAAATTTTGCCTCTGAGTTGCTCCGTTAGTACTCTGTTTATGGTGGAAGTAGAACATGAGTTTGAGTAATTTGGAACCTGAGATTTTCTTATTTGATCTTCATTGCTGCACCTCCTAGTTCTTTGGTTACTAAAAGAATATTTAAGGAACTCCTAGACCATACATGTTCCTGGGTAGCAGATTTATTTTCATACCACACACCCCAAAATGGACATTTATAGCATGAAGTAAAGCAGTACTCCAGTGCAGCAGCAATACTTGTAATTATGGTAAGCTTTTTCTTGCCAGAAAGTGGTTAACACTTCAACAATCTGCATTAGTCCAAGTGCTTCTTTTCCTAGTTTTTAAGGACCCATGCACATGGGATGTAAGTGTGGAATGGATTTTCTAGGCTCTTGAACCTAGAACTTCCCAAGTTTTGTTGAATTCTTAAGCATTTATTTTCATTCCGAGTTTATATTTCTAGATACTGATGCCTTAAACTTCACGTAGCTGTTCTGCAGGGAGAGAGGGGTGTCTCTGTAGTGGCTTCTATACTAGTTTGACTTCTACAAACTGCACCCAAAATGTCCTAGTCTTGATGAA